TTTTTTCCCAAATGATTTTGAGTTTTGTTCTACATTGTTCTCTCTCTCTATTCAGGATCTCCTACATAAATCCTCTTCCAAGTGGTTGACAGTCGTAGCCAGGCACCATCTAATTTTTCTGGTCTCATAGTCATATAGGCTACAGATTGGATGGTGTACCAAATGCTAGGATAAATTGTTTCCATGAATTTTTGGCTTTCTTCATTCTTCTTGAAAGCAATTCTTTCATCATGAAGTACTTAATCTAAGCATCCAGAGATTTCCATCAATTTATAATGATACAAATCTGAGGCCATTGCATTGTGTGAGCTCATGCACTTAAGAGTTTAAGAGGGTAGAGAAGGAAGTGTTGAGGCCGTGCCTAGAAAGTACCTCTCTCTCTCCTCCTCAGGCCTCTAGTAACTCTGAGGCCATCTCAAGTCCTAATTAAGGAGAAAAGGAGGAAATGCTGTTAAATGTGCATAATGAGTACATGTCTCTGTAGATATATGTTTTGTACTTTTCAAAATTTTTGAAATTTTTCACAGTTAAAAAGTTAGAAAAAATTTAAATGCTTATTTGTAGGAATCTGGGAAGGAAGAGAGGAAAGCAGATAAGTATTGCTGGTGAAAGGTGGTAAGTTTTCAAATTTTAGAAGGTATACAAAGCAGAGCAAGAAAGGGGCTGTCCACTGTGAGATCAAGTAGAGGCTGTCTCACTAACAGGGCTGTAAGTCAAGGGACCAGAGTATCCAGAGAGATCTCCTGCAGGTTGGGAAAAGAAATAAAACAAACAACTCTAAGGGAGAAGATTTAATATGAAGACAATGCTCAATGCAAATGAGAGGCTATTTCTTAACCATGGCATGGGAGAAAGTTGTAGAGAAGGTTGGCTCTGTGGTTTATGCTCCTAACAGTGGTTCCACAGCTCTTCATGTTTGAATTCAATACTGTTTTGCTATGGATACCTTGCATCCATACAAAAACTCACATACACTGATGCGCTGGTATAGAAAAATATGGTTATTGTAATATTGGAATTATGGGGTATTTTTCTTTCTGTATACCTACATTTTAAAAATTATACTAGAATAAACATATTACTTGTGTAGTTGAGTCCCTGGATGGTCTAAACAGTTTATACACTCAACTGCTAACAAAAAGGTTAGTGCTTTGAGTCCAGAAGCACTTTGGAAGAAAGACCTGGTTATCTACTTGCAAAAAAAATCAGTCTTGAAAACCCTGTGGAACATAGTTCTGCTCCAATACATATGGAATAGGAATTGACTCAATGGTACTGGTTTATTGGTTTACTTGTACAACAAAATTAAGAAGAAAAACATCACAAACTTTAATGAAAGTGATTAATTTTGTGAAATTTTCTGATGCTTTCATTTAATCATTTAGTCTATAAAGGAGAAAATTTTTCTTCTACAGTTCATCTGCTTCAGAAGACAAATGATTTTGAACTAGTTGCAGGGGCCCAGCCTGCAACTTAGACCCTGGCAGATTAGGGTTTTAAATCAGTAATCACATATTTCAGTTTGTCTGGGAAACTCCTAGTGTATGATTGTGGCTTCAGATAACTTATTAATCACAGCCTCTTTTATAGTTGGAAGAGATCCAGTTTGGATGCCGAATTATATGGCCATTGAGGTTATAAAGGTTGATGTCTGTACCTAGCAAGGCTGCAGCAGCTTCTGTGAAGTGACTGAACATTTCATACAACAATGGAAAACTGGAAGAACCTAACCCACTTAAGAAAAGAGCAAGACGTGCTTTATAATTTTGAGGCTCCAAAAAGCACTAAATAGAAATAGCATTAATACACTTGGCTCCAAGCTTTCAAAGTTCTGTGGCAGTAAAATGGCAATGTTTCTTTTCAAAAACATCATTTCATTCACTCATCTAACAAGTATTATGATGAAGACACATTTAATATCAGGATAAGTGACAAGTTATATTTTCAAATGATCTAATTAAAATATTAATTATGCTTATGTTGGACTAATATTGAATACCCATTGTGCAATTGTTTTAATAATATACATAAAGTAATATCACTGTATAATTTATAATCTGTGCTTAAAGATATAAAAGCAATCTATTTAGCCTGACAACCACCTGATTCTTATTCTAACTGCAATAACAAAGTCAAATCAAACTTCTTTTGGATATTTATTGGCATTCATGACAGCTTAAATAATTCCTTATATCATAGTTAATGTTCACCAGTCATCTTCTTATTAGAGTAAAATTTAAAATTTAAGCTGGTAGAAAAAGCAATTAGCAATACACCGTAGGCTATTCTCATCATTAAAACAATGACAACAACAAAAACCTGCATTAAAACAGGCTTTGTTCTTTGAGTGGACTCTGTTTTCCTAAACAATCTCAAGTCTAATTCTGGAAGTGAAATACTGAAATAAAAATTTCTGATATGTCTTAACCCATTGACATTAAGTCAATTCTGACTCACAGCGACCCCCACAGGGTTTCCAAGTCTGTAAATCTTTATGGAAGAAGACACTGCCTCATCTTTCTCCTGTGGAGTAGCTCGTGGGTTTGAACCACCAACCTTTTGGTTAGCAGTCCAATACTTTTACCACAGTGACACCAGAGCTCCTTTCTGATATGTCAGTTTTTAAAAATCATTGTGCAAGTTTAATAAGTAAGTCCAAACCCTTATTAGAAATTCCAGTAGTTAAGACAGAGAACTCTAATTCATAAATAATGTGCAAAATTTTATATAGAAGCCATTATAGGGTAATAGTAATTATAGAAATTGGTGTTTTCCTGCAGTATGATTCACTCAGATCAGTTTCAGTGATGTTTTCCTGCTTTTGCATAGTGATAGGGAAAGGGCCCACATACATGCTCATGCACTTGTTACAATCCTTCTGGAATGTGCTAATATGTGCTTAAAATTAGCTTAGATAGCCTTAAAATGTGCTACCAGTTTCATCCAATGAATCCACTTCTACAACTTACAGAGAAATAACTGGGGAACTGTTCACAAAAACATGGGCAGAGATAGTTTTTAGTAATAAAAATTAAAAGAAAACCTAATTAATAGCAGGAGATTGTGTTTATAGTTGCTATCAAGTCAATTCTGATCTACAGCAACTATAAATGCAGAATAGAACTGCTCCATAGAGTTTTCAAGGCTGTTACCTTTCAGGAGCTCACCAGGCCTATCTTCTGAGGTCAGCTGCAGGGATCCAGGTGAGGAGAGAGAACCCAGGCACACCCAAGGCATCAGGGCAGAAGAATGGGAGAAAGAGGATTAAAAAGCCCAGTAACTAGGACAAAGGAGCAGTCAGCCGCAGGAATCCAGGTGAGGAGAGAGAAGCTAGGCATAGCCAAAGCAGCAGGAAGGGAGAGCAGGAGAAAGGGGATTAAAAGGCCCAGGAATCTGGACAGAGAAGAAGTCAGCAGCAGGGATCCAGGTAAGGGTGGTATGAGAGGTTTCCAACAGGGAGACAAACTTGCCTGTTGGTTTGTCCTACCATGGTGACGTGTTGATGTGAGTTTTGAGGCTGAGCCATTGGTGTTTCAAACCCAGCAGGATGCACATGGTACACAGGTATCAGCCCAGCTTACAGACTGAGACAGACTACAAAGAAGGAAGAGGCCATCCACTTCTCAAAGAATTGGCCAGGGAAAACCTTATAAATAGCAAAGAAACAGTTTGATACATTACCGTGCAACTTTATGAATAGTCTGGTTAGGTTAGAAGGCTCTCAAAATAGGACTG